ATTGGCCTTGCGGCCTCTACGTTGTCCTTGAGGTACAAGAGGCACCTCTTCTTCTCCAATGTCATCTACCTCCTCCCCCACATTCATATTTGCAAGAGGGTCATTAGCATTTAAAGCCATTTTGGTACCTGAAGTATTGACACACACAAATTAGTAACAAGAAGCAAAGAAGAACAAAACACAAATCTAACTAAATAGATAGCCAAAACCGTTAGCTCCCCGGCAACGGTGCCAAAAAGTGATCGCTACCAACCCCGCACTACTAAAAAGTAGCAAGAGAGGGTCGCAATAGCTTTTACCCGATTTTGGGTCGGGATCGATATCCACAAAGAGCTAGAATTGGAATCGAGTATCTATCTAGTTTAGGAATACGTATGTGTTCTTAATTACACTTCTCAACATTTTTGGGATTTTCTTTATAATTCTACTTTTATCAAACTACAAATTCTAAATTTAGCTAAGAGTTAAAATGCTACAAGTTGTTCAAATAGGTTTAAAAGTGTCACGACCCGGATTTCCCACCATCAGAGTCGTGATGGCGCCTACTCGGGGTAGCTAGGCAAGCCAACTTAATTACCTTTCCATCACTAGCAATTATCTTTAACAGTTTATAACATCAATATAGAACATAAAGTCTAATAAGAACAATAGCGGAAGTCTGTCTTAAAATGATGAATTTAAAACGCGAAATAGTCAAAAACAACCTTTACCCAAGATTTGGTGTCACATTACTCACGAACCACTAAGAATAAACTAAATACAAAGGTCTGAAAGAAATATAACAGTTGTCTGTCTCGAAAACAATGAGGCAACAGTCTAAAAGAAAACAATGAGAAGAGACGCCGGGCCTGCGGACGCTTGCAAGGCTACCTCAGTCTCGTGAATATGAATCGCCTGCTTCCGAACTACTGCTGCTGCTGTTCCTCAAAACCTGGACATGTGCAAAAATGCACAGAAGTGTAGCATCAGCACAACCGACCCCATGTACTGGTAAGTGTCTAGCCTAACCCTGGCGAAGTAGTGACGAGGCTAGACTGGACACCACATAAACCTGTGTAGTTATAGATATACAGCGGAAATCGAATACAAAGCAATTACCAACATGGGAGGGGAAACATGCTATGAGGAGTTACAATAATAACAATAATCCAGAGTAACAACTAAAACAGCTTAGGTTCACAATGAACAAAGAATCAATACTCAAATACAAACGCATGGCCTCAATAACTGTTGCGGCGTGCAACCCGCTCCATAATTACTATTGTTGCGGCGTGCAACCCGATCCTTAATATCGTTTATCATGTATCATTGTTGCGGCACGCAACCCGATCCTCAATATCATTTATCATGTATCATTGTTGCGGCGCGCAACCCGATCCTCAATATCATTGTTGCGGCGCGCAACCCGATCCTCAGTATCATTTAACAGTCCGACTCCCCAAACAACAGTCACAATTAAGGGGCATAAAAATAAATAAATATTTGACAAACATCCCGGCAAGGGAATAACCAACAACGCTTTCTCTTTCTTACTTTTCTTATCTTATAATTCACTCTACTATTTTGAGCCAACGCTCCGAAGAATCAAGTCATTTCGTATGATTTCAATATTCGTATCACAATTCGAGCCTATGCTCCCAGGAAAATCAAATAATCATATTACCGTTCACATGCTATTCACAACATATAGAAATCCTCCAATAAACACGGAGTTCACAACCAAGTCATGATAATCACGTTATAAGGACTCACGGTCATGCTAGACACCAATGTATAGATACTCGTCACCATACCTATACATCGTACTCGATCACATAGCATTTAGCAACAAGACTCAACTCCTATTCCCTCAAGCTAGGGTTAAACCAAACACTTACCACAAAGCCTTGAAATCCACTTAATCCTCAACTATCGCTTTACCTCATGATTCCACTTCCAATACAGTGATATCTAGGCATAATTAATTCAACAATATCAATAAAGACTCAATGGCAATTTCTCATAGCCTAGATATGAATTTTCTAGCATTATTCCAAAAATACCAAAATTAGACACCGGGCCCACATGGTCCAAACTCTAGGCTCGGACCAAAACCCGATCACCCATAACCCCACGAGTGCAAATATATAATTTGTTTTAAGATTCGACCCCAAATTGAGGTTGAATCACCCAAAGTTCTCAAAACCCTAACTCTACCCAAAACCCATAATTTCTACCTTGATTTCATGTTTTTTAGGGCTAGGAATTCACTAATTAATGAAGGAAATTGAAGGAAACAAGTTGAACAATGCTTACCCAAGAAGTTTTGATGAAAGGGAGCTTCAATGGACGCCTATGTGCTTGGAGAAGAAAGGGTTTCGTGTGTTTTTATGAAAAATCCCGTGCTACTGTTCTGTTTTTAACTTAAAAATTCGCTGGGCAAAATTGCCCTATGCGATCGCGGAAATNGATGGTTCGAGTGATTTTGCCCGAATTGGCTTTCTCAAGATCAATTGGGTATGCAATTTTGCTCAAGCAACTAGGTTTCAATTCGGGTATTACTCTCTCGAGGTTTAACCCTTTAATTGGGGATATCAATCTCTTGAGTACGCCCTAATTTATTGTTGGACCAATTTCGGAGACTTAGGCTCTCTTTCTCAAGAAGAGCTCAAGTCAACTCAACACAAACTAGTGTTTGCAACCACTAATTCAGAAATTAACCATGAAATTGGCCCAAATAACAAACACCCATAGTCAAATTAGTCCTAAAGTACAAGACTCATCAATTACCCACACTAGGGTTGAGCCACAACCCTAGCTTATGGGTCTAACTACTCATAATTAAAGAAGAAAAGCAAGAAATAGAAGAAGATAAACACATATTAATTAATTGTTAAGCTAAATACAAATATTCAATGATGAAAAGTAAGTAAAATGCCCAAAATGACTAAGAAAAGTCAACCCACGAGCGCAGCTGATGTATTACAATATCTGATACCCTCAAAATGGAAAAAGAATCTATTTATATTAAGCTGAAAAATCTGAACAAAAATGCCCCTGCGGGGTTAGTGCGGACCGCACAAAATGGACCGCGGTCCGCACTGGGCTCTTGACTTAAAAAATCTCATTCTCTGAACTTGAGCTCCGCGGACCGCACAGAATGGACTGCGGCCGCGGAGGCTTCTAGTGCGGTCCGCACAAACTTGACTGCGGACCACATTGGCTTGAAAACTTCATTTTGCAGCTTCTCTGAATCTTGGCTCTGCGGATCGCACAGAATGGTAGTGCGGCCGCATTGCCTTCAGTGCGGACCGCACAAAACCTAGTGCGGCCGCACTGCCTTAATGCCTGAAATACCAGCTCTCTGAATCTCCCAGTGCGGACCGCACAAAGTGGTGTGCGGCCGCACTGGGCCTGTTCTGCCTGAGCTTGACTTGTCTTTGGCGCTTGTGCAAGTTTCACTACTTTTGAGTCGATCTTTGATATTTTGTCACTTTGTTGATCAAACCTGCAATCAAGCACAACTTGTGAGCCTTTTGGGACTATTTTGTATGAATATTTGATCAAAGCATAAGCAAGAGGGGATATAAAATGCGTTAAAATCCCTAGTTATCAACTACCATATTTTTTCATCTACAACACAAGGAAGAAACACCACAATTTATAGGTGTAGAATCTCTTCCATGAAATAATAATAAGATAGTGAGATAATAGTAGAACATAGTGGTTATAAAATATAATCTTTAGTGGGTAGTTAGTGGTAGATTATGGCATTAGTGGTTTCAAGAGTTACACCAAAATAATGACCACTTTCTTGTCAATTTATAACCACTATCTCACAAGAAATAATGCACTTTAATATTATAATTTTAATATTAAAATGCACTAACACCAACAATCCATGACCCCATCCTATAGGAACGGACAAAATTTTCAAGGTATATTCAAATTTTTGAAGTTTTAAGGATCTTAAAAGAAACCAAAGGAAAATGTATATTTGAAATTGAAAAAGAAGATGAAGAAATAAAAAGATATGTGTTTAATATCAATTTTTATACAACACTATACCATAATTTCTAAATTGTTGGAAAAAAATAATTAAAATCCATAATAATTGCATCCCAACATGTATATTCCAACGTTTATCCTTCTTTTCTCTAATTGTATGCCTTCTCCCTTTCGGTACCGCTTAGAATTGAAGTTTATAGATTTGAAATTTTAGTCTTTAAATTACTGAGTTTTAAATAAATAATTTATACATATTCAATAAAAAATTTAAAACAAACGGTATTTAGACTAAAATTATTGAACTCGTAACCTAAACTCTAGCTCCGCGCTTGTTTGGCGCTCAAAGTTTAATCAAGAAAGTGGAAATTTTTGAGGTATCTGTTGTGTTGGGAAAATACAACTCTTATCAATGCAGACGAGTAAATAGTGGAAAAGAGTAAGAATTGAAGTGAAACCTACAAACGGTGCTAATTTCAACGTATATGTCTGTCCTTTGTTGGCCGTTAGGTACGTGTACTAGGAATATATGAAAATAACAAAATGAATAAGGACATGGGAGAAAACTAGTTTTGCAATGTGACAAACAAGTCAAAGGAAAGATTCACTAATACTAGAAAAAATGGGACGTGATTAAATAAACCTAGTACATACATACATCAGCAGGGCAGCTTTATTAAAGAATGAAAAATTAATCCCAATTTATATAAAAGTTTTTGATCGCACAATCAGTAAAAAAATAAAGGAAGTCATTTGAAATTTATGGTCCGTGTGACTAGAAATCATTTTATTGAGGGTAAAAGAGAAAACTTAAAGTTAAATTATTGCTAAATATAGAAAGGCATCATTTTTTTGGACTACTAAAAAGAAAAGAGAAAAAGATAAGTACTATTTTTTATCCTCCTTGACGTATGTATATTAACTGACCAAAGAAAGATGATAATGATATCCAAGTTGTCCGGTCAATGAGTTCCGAATACTAGATGGTTGAACATATAAGAAAGAGATATCCAGGCTGTCCAAACAATATTCTTATTCCTTGGCATTTTGTTTGTTTAGATTGCAAAGAAATGGAAAGGGAAGGGAAAAGAAACACAAAGTAAACTCTACATATTCCTTCCATACAAACAAAGTACATGAATGTAAAAAGGGCAGTTCGGTGCACTAAGCTCCCGCTATGCGCGGGGTCTGGGGAATGGCTGGATCACAAGGTTTATTGTACGCAGTCTTGCCTTGCATTTCTGCAAAAGGCTGTTTCCACGACTTAAACCCGTGACCTCCTGGTCACATAACACCAACTTTACCAGTTACGTCAAGGCCTACCGTCAAAGTACATGAATGTAAAATGGCAGAAGTGTATACTATGTACTTAAGATGGTACAGGGAAACGTAGAGTAGGAACAAGATGCAAACTTGAAGTCTTGAAAAGAGTCATTCCAAATGTTTCATTCATATCAACATCTTCTGGTTTCATTTCTTGAGGTAGCTTCCAATCAAAGTGATAAAGCATAGCTGCTAATGAAAGTTCCAAGTTCAACATCCCAAATGAAATTCCAGGACAAATCCTTCTTCCAGCGCCAAACGGAATAAACTCAAAATCATGACCTTTGAAATCCACTGCTACATTTTCAAACCTTTCAGGCTCAAATATATCAGGATTTTCCCAACTTTTTGGATCCCTAGAGATTGCCCAATAGTTGATAAAAACTCTAGTATTTGCTGGAATTTCATAGTCGTCGACCGTGCAATTTTCCAGGGACTCTTTTGGTAGTAAAAGGGGTACAGGTGGATGAAATCTTAGTGTTTCCTTGATCACCATTTTGATGTAACTTAGTTTGTGTAGATCACTCTCTTCTACTGTTGGCTTCCCTTTTACCACATTTCTGACCTCTTCTTGTGCTTTTGTTAGTATTTTTGGATTCTTGATCATCTCTGTCATTGCCCACTCTACTGAATTTGAAGCATTTTCACTTCCAGCTACTACCATTTCCTTTAGTTTTGCAAGGGGAAGGAAACAATGTTAGTCAATGTGGAAACATTTGTTAGGACTGCAATAATCAGGTGCATGTCATGCAAAAGCTAGTAAAGCAAAGTTTGAACAACTATAAATCAACAACAAATTAAAAGAGAAATATACCAAAAGAGACACAAATATTTAATGTTGTTCGGTCAATTGACCTACGTCCACGGGCGGAGATGAGCAATCCATTAAATAAAAGAGAGCACAAAATATCGAGAGGAACAACCTCACAAAGAGGCAAACACAAGTGGCACACTAACACTTGTCGGAAAAGTTTTCCCCCAAAACAAGACTCTCAAACCCCATATGATTACATAGTGGATGCTATTGAATGAGAAGGAAGGATCCTTAATTTATAAAAGTCAAAAACCTTTTTCTCTAAGAAAAAGGACTAGCCAAATATGAAAGAATTATATTTTCTTCTTCGTAAAAAGAAAAATCAATTATGGTAAATATATTATACTTCAAGAAATAGGAAAACCAAATATGGTAAGAAAGTCAGAATAAACACCTAACTACATTTAAGTTGTATATACTGACAGTATAATGTGGGATTATACTGTAGGGGTAAGGTATACGTACACACAGAGGTGGACCCAGGATTTGAAGCTCGTGGGTGCACTTTTGGATTCAACCAAAATCTGTTTTGCATATAAGGTGTCCACTACTAATATATCACTATTTTCTAAAGACATACGTATGCATATATAGAGTTTTTGCCGAACTTTACAGGTGTCGGTGACCCCTATTTGTATAGCATAGGTCCGCCCCTATACGCTACCATCCTCAGAAGTCAGACCCCACATGTGAAATTATACTGAATTTGTTATTGTTGTTGTTGTTGTGGTATACTCTATACTGACAATATAACGGTTTTATTCCACAATCAGTAACAATTTACTTACCATTATAGGTTACTAATCGATGCTATTAAATAGAGTTACTTGCACTTACCCTTTAATGTGACCAGATTGTGTAAATATCAATGCATAGAACTTAAGCTCTTACAAAAATTAGGATGTGGAGCATGTTTACCAGTAAGATAGACTTGATGTTTTCAATAGTCAAAGGAACTTCAAGTTCTTCATTTTCCATAATCCTAAGCAGAACATCAAGTAAATCTTCATGCTCCGGCTTGATTCTTTTGTTCCTTTCAGTATGCTCGTCGATGATTTTGTTAATTATTCCATCCATCTCAACGAAAATCTTCTGTATCCGCGATGTCATGCCTGTGACAAGAGCAACAAATGACAGAGAAGGAAAGAAATCCACCAATCTGAAATCCACTTACTAATATTGTTCCTTCTTTAGTTGCAGCCCTGAATCTCATTTGATCATCAGCTTTACATCCAAATGTGATTCTTGTAGTTATATCATGGTTTAAAGCAAACAACATTTCAGCCAAGTTAATAGGTTTTCCACCACACGAACACGCGATAGATTGAAGAAACAGATTTAACTCCTCGCGTCTAGCAGACGCGAATGAGTTGACTCTCTTTGAGCTAAGAAGCTCAAGGATGCAAATTTTCCTTAGTTGTCTCCAATATGTACCATAAGGTGCAAGTGCAATATCTGTATAATTGTAGCCCAAGATTTTTGGCCCGACTAATTTAGGCCGGCCTGCAAAAGCAAGATCATTAGTTTTCAAGATTTTCTCAGCAGCATCAGCAGAGGATACAACAATTGTTGGCACCATTCCAAGTTTTAGGAACATTAAAGGACCATATTTTAAGGCCAAATCCCTTAATTTTTTGTGGGGTGTTGGAGTCATTAATTGGTTTAAATTGCCAATAAAAGGCAATTTTGTTGGACCAGGAGGAAGCTTGGTTTTTTTCTTCAAACTCCAGAGTTGTAAGAAGATGAGGATTATAAAGGGGAATATGGAGATTTTGATTAGTTTCAATGGACTAAACTCTTCAAGAAAAACTGATTCCATCTTGTATGTTTTCTTGTGTCTGAAATGAATTGAGTATTTGTCACAAGTTCAGTGATAATACGCCTATTTATTGAAGGATGCATCTTCTTTTTGGAATCTTCATTTAAAAAAAAAAAAAAAAAAGCCCGGTGTACGAAGCAGAGGTGAAATTCAAAAGGTTCTTAGTATTGAACTCATTATATCCTTAGGGGTCATTTGGTATGAGGGATAAGGTGAGATAAGATGTGGGATTAGATTTATACCGTGTTTGGTTGGTTGTATAAGTTTATATTGTGATAAATTTATACCTCCAACCAAACAAGGTATAAATTTAATCCTAGACTTAATCTAGGACATCACATGCTATCCCACCTTATCCCATCAAATGTGGGATTATTTTATCTCATCTCTCATGTGGTATAAATTAGTCATAGGATTATAATCCCGGGATAATTTAGTCGCGTGCCAAACGACCCCTTAAAGTTATGGATTCATATCAATAAATTATTGTGATTTCTACGAAATTTGCTCCATGTCGAAAGTTATGGGTTAGATTAAACCCGTTGCTATAGGATTACATTCGCTTCTAGTACAAAGTATCTCGCGCTCACGTTGGTTCCGAGGCAGGCTGCACCCCCAACAAACCAATAAATTAGCAAAATGTTAGTATCTGCTAGCTTAGTCAGATGTGATGTTTTTACATTAGAATATATAAGAATATTGCTAGCCATCAAGTTTGACTTACTAGCTGCCTCAAATTTTTTGCAGAATATCTCTTTCATTAAAGAGCAGTAGATAAGTCTATAAATGCATTGGATATGTAGAGTTGTAGAGCAATTTAAGGACATTATTGGTTTTCCAGATTGCTCAGCTTACCAGATGAAAAAATACTTCGACTTGATAAGTGGTTTTCCAATTTAAGTTTAGGGATTTATCTTATGTTAGAAAGTTAAACAAACAAGGAAAAAAAAAAACACTTGGTAATAATTGAATAACTACCACTACAGTAGTAGTTCCTTCGATCAACATTATTTTTCTTAAAAGAATTTTGCACACTTATTAAAAAGACATTTAATAATTTCAATTTTCGCCTAAACTACCGGTAGGCATGTAAAATTTATTGAATTTAAATTCAATAAATAATGTGGACTATACGTTAAATGTACTAGTCCAAATAAATATTACTCCTATGGGCTAATATAATTGAATTAATTATTTAAGTCCAATAATATTGACAGGGCCAGCTCATTTAATTGGATTACAAATGATGAGCCCACTTCATTAAGCCCAAGATGCCATCTTCTTTGGTAAAAATTGTGTGGGGTAGCCACTTTTTAAAGTGGTATTTACTTTTTATCCATCAATTTTAATGCTAAGCAAAAGTAGCCACTGGTCTATTAAAATTAATATGAAAAGACAGTATTACCCTTTCCTTCCCAAACAGAAATACGCCATTTTCAGATCCATTCCTTACAGCTCCACTTCTCCTTCTACAATGGCGTTCTGGGGTCCGTATGAGTGTTTCCATTATTTTCATATATGAAACCCAATTTTGAACAGAAGAAGCGAAATGCATTAATCATATAAATTTTATAAGCCTCTCACTTTCTTTTGTCTCTGCTTTCAGGAGTTGAATTGCTTGGTTTCACTTATAATAATCACAGACGTGGGAGGACGTGACTTTTGGTTTTCTAAAAGAAGTGACTTAGATTTTCTTAAACAACAGATAAGTAGGAGAAATATGGTAAAAAGCCAAAAAGTTGAGGACAAAGATAATTGTGTTAAGGACATGTAGTCCTGAAGTCCTAAAGTTAAATTCAAAAGTTAAGGACATGGTCATGAACTTAGAGTTTCAAGTTCAAAAGTTAAGAAAATGTAGTCCTGAAGTCCTAAAGTTAAGTTCAATAGTTAAGGACACAAGTTCAAAAGTTAAGGACAAGCAGTCCTTAACTTACAGTTACAAGTTCTAAAGTTAAGGATAGGCAGTCCTTAACTTATAGTTACAAGTTCAAAAGTTAAGGACATGCAGTCCTTTACTTACAGTTGCAAGTTCAAAAGTTAAGGACAATAGGTCCTTAACTTTGATTTCCAAGTTCAAAAGTTAAGGACAGACAGTCCTTAACTTACAGTTACACGTTCAAAAGTTAAGGACAAGCAGTCCTTAACTTACAGTTACAAGTTCAAAAGTTAAGGACAATAGGTCCTTAACTTTGACTTACAAGTTCAAAAGTTAAGGACGCTTGGTCCTGAAGTTTGAGTTCCAAGTTCAAAAGTTAAGGACATGTAGCCTTGAAGTCCTGAACTTAGAGTTACAAGTTCAAAGTTAAGGACATGTAGTCCTGA